ACTAAAATTTTTCAGAGAGATCTTGAGCGTGTCCCTGTACCACTTCTCATCACCATGTGAGTGCTTGCCTTGTTTGAATTCTCCATAAAATAGTCTTTTAGGTGTGCATGCATTTGGCATTTGGGCTTTGTGGCCAGCCCGTCAGAGTTGTACTCTATGCTGTTGTGTTTGAGTGCTTGGCAGTTCACCTCAAGAGAGGACCTCAGTGTCTGTACCTTAGCTTGCTAGGTAATCTTCAGAATCCTTCTAAGACAATTCAAGTGGAAGCAGTTCAGTTTTTTGGCCTGGCACTGATAGATTGTCCAGGTTTCACAGGCGTGTAATAGTGAAGTCAGCACAATGGCCCTGTAGACCTTTAGGATCAAGAATGTCTTCATTGTCCAACTCTACTAGTAGTGTCAAAGGATATGCCCATTTTAGTAACTTCTTGGGTATAGTTGCCCATTTATTCTCCAGGGTCAATACCGAATAGACATTTGGAAATCGATGGCCACAATTTCTCCTGAATATGCCTTTCTCCTTAAGTTGTAACAGTTTGGGAACAGTTGAAGCTGTATCTGCTGATACTGTCACATAATCACCACTATCTCAAAAAAAGGAGGCAGCACTATTTATTGCCCCAGTTACTTTGAAATGCCACTTCCCTGAATATAGAGTAGAAAAAGGGTAGAAACTATCAGTAGGTAAGAGCCAAGACTTGCCCTCAGTTGTATAGTGGTCCAGAAGACATCTGCCCATTCCTTTCATTGCAAAAATGCTACTTTGTGAAAATAGTGTTTTCCCATTTTTGGGAGGGGGGGAATGAGAGAGAAAAATGGCTTACAGATCTTGGAATTCTCTGAATATAGCACTTGGAAGGAACCTTAGAGGTTCCCTCTGGTCCAATCTCATTTTACAGGAAACTGAGGATGAGAGAGATTAAAGTTGAGCGATTTGCCCAAGGCTTCACAGCTTTTAAGTGGTTTAACTGGGATTTGAACTCAGGCTCTAATTCTCAAAAAATTTCTGAAGGACAAGATCAGGGGCAGAAAGAACTCCATACAAGCACCTGAAAAGGTGTCTGATGCTTCCATATAAAAATGTGGCTCATATTTCTTAGCATGATATTTATGGTGAATTTAAAGATCCTTTTCCTTTGTTAAATCCAAGGAACTTTTGAAAGCGTGTTTACATTGAAACTTCGTTATACCACACCACATCATTGTATCTGTCACCGTGGGTCACGATGGGTAAAAATTATTTTTACCTTTCAAGAGTCACTTTTTCAGACCTTTTATTTCCTAGGGGGAGGTCCATTGAGAATAGGATGTTTAGGAAAATGATTGTTTGATGGTGGGGATTGTGTGGAATGGGTCAGCAGCTCTCTTTTGAACTCTTAATAGCAGGGAGAGATGATAAGGGTCCTCATTAAAGTTTATACAGGAGACCAGGTATTTAACCCTTTTGTGGTATAATATTACCCTTTGATTCATGGGAAGACTCCAGTGTATTTAGATCTTCCAACTACATTTACCAAGACATTGGCAGCTTCATTTTAGCCTGTAAATATTCACATTTATATGCACTATTTTGGGTGTAGAATTTTATGGAGGCAAAACAGGCTATAATCAAGTATGGTTAGGTTAACTTGGCAAAAATGTGCATGCTAGGGCAATGTAGTGGTATTGAGGTGGGAGCAGGTGGTTAAGGCAGAAATAACTCCCAACTTTGGAAAAAAGAAAGGGTAGGTAATGTCGAAAAGTATCATATCAGAATATTTCTCTGCCTCTATTTCTACCTTAATTTACCATTTAGTATTGGAGGGACTTAGATATAAGTAAAAATCACTTTTGTACATAGGTGCATAATGTTGCAATAAATAAAAGGATAATTTCACTTAATTATGGTAGTGGCTTGGCTGACAGCTTGGTATATAGCTACTTACTAGCTGTTTGTGAGCACATTATTTCACCCCTCTGAGCCTCAGTTTCCTCATCTAAGTGAATATAATGAAAACATGTTGTACAAAACAATGGGGTACAGTTATATAAGAGCAATTTATTTTAACTCCTCCATGAATCTATAACCTCTCAGGTTTTGATGACTCAGATTCAAGTAACAGCTTTGCTTCTGATTAGCAATCATTTCACCTTGTCTAAATAGACATAAGAACTTTCACTCCGTAATTCTCAGAGTGAGAAAAGTGCTTTGTAAATTGTGTAATATATACATAAATGTTAGTTGTAATCTTAGATTATTTTGAGATTTATGGGCTAATTTTAAATTTTACATATTTAAGTGTATTTTAATTCTATATATCTAAATTTAGTGTTAGACTTGCAGGCTGGAAGACCTGGGTTCAAACGTAACCAATAACATCATTCATTGGTTTTGTGATCATAGATTGGCAAGTAAGTCTCTTAAGCTCTAGGTTTCAGGCAACTCTTAAAACTAAGGTGGAGAGTTCCTATATAAAGCCCTGAAATTGAACATTTTCAGGTACAAACCAAAACATTTCTTAGTAGAGACCCTGCTTTAATTTAAGTCTCTTCTAGCTTCTAACATTTTAGAAGAGAAGAATGATTTGTAGTTAGACCATCAAAGCAATGATAAACTAAAGTCTGTTTACATTGTAATTATGGGGTTTGTATATGAATGGGTTAATTAGAAGTACTGGGGAGGTTTGTTTAGTAGGTTAAAAAATTTCCTATATATCTTTTTTTAACCCTTATTTGTTTCGATTGTCACAAGTTATAGAATTTTAATTTAATCTTTCTGAAACTGATTATAATTTTATTATATTTGCTAAAGTACATCATTCTGCATTAATTGAACTGTCTAGAATTATAGAATTACCAGGCCATTTGAAAATTTCCTCTTCCTCAAAAAGACAAATTTTTGTTATATCAGCATGATTACAAACTGCTATTTTGGGTGTACTTAGATTTATTTATGTATGAAATATAGTAAAAAGTAGAATTCAAATAGCTGAAGACAAAACATTAACTGATGTATTATTTTGAAATAAGTTTTTATTGATATCTTCTGTTTCTTTTATCATTGTAGTTATACCCAGCATCCTTTTCCCTCTTCCACCCAGATAGCCATCCCATATAATAAATAGTATTTTTAAGAGAAAAAAATGGTACAAATAATTGATACATTGGAAAAAAAATATGTAGGTGTAATAACTATGGACTTCCCACCTTCAGCGAAGAGGGATGGGTTTAGGGATGTCGTTTCCTATCTCTTCCTTTGAGTCATATTTGATCATTATAATTTTGTTACAATCACTTTTGATTTTTTTGGGGGGGGTATGTAGTTCTTTCTGTTTACATTGTTGTAGTTATTCTGAATATTGTTTTCTTGGCTCTCATACTTTGCATCAATTCATGTAGGTATTTTCTCTGCATTTATTACATCTATCAGTTCTTAAAGCACACTAATATTCTATTACATTCATGTACCACTGTGTGTTTAGCCATTCCCCAATCAATGGGCATCTATTTTGTTTCTAATTCTTTCTATCACAAAAAAATGCTGCTACAAATATTTTGGAATATATGGGGACTTTATTCTTTTGATAGCTTCCTTTGGATATAGACCAGTTAATGGAGTCTTTTGTTCAAAGGGCATAGTTATGTATTAATTTTTTAGAAAAAAATACCCATATTTGGAGTTAGGATCATTTGAGCTTGGGGAATTTTTAGGTAAGTCTCTATCCCTTTGATAAACACTATAGTAGATAACATCCTCATGCGAAGTCAACCTGGAAATGACAAGTCTGAAATCTTTGTCATAGCCTAACTTTATGGCTTTAAAATCTCTGATAATAGAACTTTTTTTTTTTAATGTAACAAAAGAATACCTTTTAAAATAGTAATGTACATTTTATACTCATGTAGTTCAGTGAATTGACTAGGAAATTTCAAGAAGCAGATTTTTAGCCTTTAGTATCTATTGGCGAAGTGTTTAAAAAAAATAAGAATTGTCCACTCCAGAGAAAGATTTCTCATGTCATTTAGGGCATTCTTCTACTTTTTATCCTCCAGAACCAGTCACCAGTCTAAAGGTTTAAGGGGCAAATTGTTTTTTTTCTTTGACTCCAGTGTTGTATAGCCTTAGCAAAACTTTCCAAGTAAATTGAAGAAGTAAACATGGTCAAAGTTTAGACTTGGTACATTTAGAAGTTAATAAAATACTTTTTTTACAACCTTAGATTATTTTTCTTAGTGAATTTAAAGAATGTAGATTATAGTTTTGAACTAATCAATTTTTGATTTTTGAAACTATTGATTCTAAGTTTTAAGTAGACATTGATTATATAAAGACTTAAAATATCTGTATAAAATATTTTCTTAGTTAATGTATTCAGATCAGTTAGTAATTTTCTTTTATTCTCTATAACTTGTTACACTGAAGAGCACACAGTAAGGAAAATGAAGGGTTTTTAAAAATCATTATATACAGTAGGGGGCACCAGATGAAGACAAAAAGGAATTCTGATATTTTTAATCTGCTTCAATCAGCATAGTATATATTGCTTCCTTTTACGGTTTCAGCTTTTCTGTTTTACAGTAGATAGTGGGGGAAAAATCAGGTAGAACTCATTTATAACCTTAAATGAAACTTATCCCCTTTGAACAGAAGTTAATTGTATACATGAATTCATAAGTATTGAATTATTTACATCAAATTATTGAGAATCAAGTTAACTGGTCTAACAATTATGTTACTTCATCACGTAAATATTATATATAGTATTTTAAAACTATGTTTCCTAAATCATGATCTGACATTACTTTTTTTTTAATAAAGAAAATAGATTGTCAATAAAGTAATAAGAAATTTGAAGGTAGTTATATTTTTTTGTCAAGTATATCAAATGAGTTGATTTTTTAAAAGATCTGGAAATGGACAGTGCTGCTATGAATATTTAATTTAATTTCTTCAGAGGTTTTGTGTAATGTGGCTGCTTTTCTGGATGGTTTAAAATTTAACGATTTGTCTTTTTTACTTAGTCCAATATCAGATGGAAATGATGCGCAGTCTTCGTCACGTAAATATTGATCATCTTCATGTTGGTTGGTACCAGTCTACATACTATGGCTCTTTTGTCACCCGTGCTCTTCTGGATTCCCAATTCAGTTACCAACATGCAATTGAAGAGTCTGTAGTTCTCATTTATGGTTTGTAGAAGTTTCTCTTTATTATTCTTTTCTCCCTTAATATTATTACTACTATTTTTGCATTCTGTCTTTTTTGTCTATAAGAGTAGCCTGGCAGGCCCTCTCAAGTAAATACCAACCCTGTGTCTGCAGCAGCCTCAGCAGCAGCTAAGTCTAGACAGGGTTTCCTTCTTTCTGTTTATTTTTCTTGCTATCAGAGCCCTGATGTGTATGTTTTGGAATGCTGGAGTAGCTGCTTCATTTTTATTCCTCCATCTCCCTCCCTTGTTGAAGGGGCTAGTGGAACTAGACCAGATGTCTAACAAACCCCGATTGCTAGAGTGTCTGGCTCTGTACGTGACTGACCAATCATAACGCAACTTGCCAAGATTTTTTTTTAATACCTCTGACAGGAGTGTACAAAACCTGGACTGTTTCTTAGCACAAAGATTTTTTTCTTTTCTGCCTATTTAATGGTGTTTCCTCAAGCTCTCCAGACCAGATGTTCTGTGCTGTATCAGAACCGTAGGCAATTTAACAGCTTTATAGCCTCCCCCTCCCCAAACACTCACAGTTTGCCATATCTGGCAGACTTGCATATAGTTTCCAGCTGAGAAGTAAATGTAACGTCCTGAGTATCTGTCAGAAAAAATACTAATGAATACGATCAATCTTATGAGCTGCCCCAAAATTGTTTCAGTATGTTAACAATTGGATTACAGTAAAGAACAAGTTGTTAAAGTGTACTTATATTGGCTGGAAACATTGCATCATCAGACCTTGATGAATTTTCCACTTGTTTCAGTCTATTTTGGTTTTCGTTTTATCACCTATTGCTAAAAGTTTCACTGTGTTAAGTTTCAGACAACATGAATGTTAACACAGGTTTTAGTCTAATATTGGCTTGCCCGAGCCGTTATCATGCTCCAAGTGTTAAGCTTCCTTATTGTAGGAGTTTTTAAACAGTTACTTTTAACAAAATTTCTTTCCCCCAATGTAAAGAGACAGTGTCAGGACAGCACTCTTAATCTCTGTGATCTGTGTTCTGAAATCACTTTCATCTAAGCAGTGTAGATAGGGACTTTACTGAGGTGAAAAATGTTCAAGAGATACGTAGCAGCACACATAAATTTGGATCCAAATTATTTTTTAAAGGACTATTCACCATAATTTTCATATATTAGTTGATTTCCTTCTAACTTTTTCTTTAATGAAAATAACGCATCTTGAAAAGATGACATTTCAGAAAGCTGTAAATTCAAAGGTTTTTAGTTTTTCTTTCTACAGAAAGATATTTTGCTCCATTTACATATCTTATACATTGTAATTTTTAGTTATCCCATACTTGCTTATTGATTTGATGTTATATTGACATGTATCTATTCTAAATTATGATCATTCACCAAAAAATTATATGGAAAGTAGTGAAATTCATTTAGAATGAATCACAGAGTGAAGACAGATTTTTTTTAAATTATTCTTTTCTTATTCAAGATCCCATAAAAACTGCTCAAGGATCTCTGTCATTGAAGGCATATAGGCTGACTCCTAAGCTGATGGAAGTTTGTAAAGAGAAGGATTTTTCTCCTGAAGCGTAAGTACTTTTGCTCTTTTAAAAAGAGATTAAAAAAATTAGTTTCTGGAATATTTTGATGAAATTCATCCCAAACCCCCTAGTTCCCTCCAAATGTTAATTTGATGTACTGTATTTGCCTTACATATAATGTAGAGGCTGTCAAAATTACTTAGTACAAACTAAGAAGATTTAACATATTCTTCACAGAATGTCTCTCCTAATAAGGATTTCAGTTAATTAAAATTAGGTTATATATTTGGAGAAACAAATAATTCAGTAAAAATGAAGATGTAAAGAAAGACCAGACATTGTCAATAAGTTATATGTCTTTTCTTGTGTGTTGAATTCCTTCTGGGTGGGGAAAGGGGGTGGAAGAAAGCATAAAATGATCTTTCAAAAGAATATTTTGTATTGGAAGCTTTATAGAGAATTTTTTAAACCAAATTGGTGGTTGGAGTAGGAATTAGCATCTTGATATTGGTGTTTTGTCATTCCACTTAATTAGTCATAGCATTCTGTTACATTGTCCATTAGAACGTTTTTTCCTATTTATCAAATTTGTTTTCACATTTTTTTGTCTTGGTACTCAGAATGTATCTTCTGTCCTGTACTCCCCCACCCTTCCAGAATAGTGAAGTTTTTGCAAATTATATACTTTATTTCTTGACTTAATAGTTTAATCTTAATATGGGGGAAATTGTACAGCCTCCAAGATAGTGAAGAAGTATCAATAGATTTTATAATATCAGTTAGCTCTTAGAGAAATTAAGATTGAAAGAATTTGAAAAGAAAAGCATGCTTAAGAAATACTGTTACAAAGTTTCCTTAATACTGCATTGGTAGTATTCTCAACCATTTTATGTCTAATTTCTAAGTACTTAGTCTTTCTATTAGTTGTTAATGTCTTTTCCTTTCATAAGCTTTTAAGATTAAATTACTGAATACTGGACTATTTCTCCTTGTGTAAAAATAATTTAGTTTTTTTGTGTGTGTGTGTTGTAAATATAGGCTGTTAAGCGTAAGTGACTATGAAATTAAGATTTTATTATTCCTGGCACTATTTTAAGGATATCTATTGGTTGGGAAGGGAAGAAGTAACTAAATAAAATTGCTTAGAGTGTTATTTGCTAGGTTTATAACTGAATATTCTAATAGTCTGATATTTAATTATCCTAACAATTCTCCTTTTGATTGGCCTTCAAAATAATCCCTACCCATTTTGGGGGGGTGGTAATGTAACCAACTTATTAACCCCAAGGGATACCAACACAAATGGAATAAAGATATATAAAACACAAGCAATTTTAACATTTATTTATGACCTTAAAGACTGAAATATTTTTAACTTGTTTCACAGATTGAAAAAGGCAAACATCACCTTTGAGCACATGTTTGAAGAAGTGCCGATTATAATTAAAAATTCACATCTGATCAATGTACTAATGTGGGAACTAGAAAAGAAATCAGCTGTGGCAGATAAACATGAATTGCTCAGTCTAGCCAGCAGGTAAGTGGGCCTGTCTAATCTAATGGAAATTTTATATGTTCTTTGCCACTTTTCTGGAAAGGATACTTTTACTCAGTCTTCACCTCCCTTAAAAGAAACGATTTTCCCATAACACTAGGCAGTTACTGAAATACATAAAAACTTATTAGCAAGAGCCTGCATATACTAGCAGTCCTTTCTAGACTTTGCTAAGGAGTAGGAATAGAAAAGCATTCAACTGATAAGTGTTGGAACTTCAGTTATTACTATGCAGATGATCCTTTCCTAATTTGCTTTCTTGTTTGATTTGTGGTTTGATAACACGAATGCCTCAGGAGGGGTAGGGATTTTAAAATTTGATGTAGCTTTGTTGTGCAATGGCCTCATACTTAAGGAGCCATCTAGACAGTAAATAATTCTCTGGAGAAATATGCTTCTTTTATCAAAGCAATTTTCACTTTATTTTTGTTCACCTGAGCTTGGGACAAAAGATTCTATTGCTGCGGTGAGGTATTAGTTTGTCTACTTGGTCTTCAACTAAAATAAAATTTTTTTAAAGCTCAGTAAGTGACATAATTTCCCCATGTGACTACTTTATTTGCTAACAATTTAAAAAAAGTTATTCTTAATTTACAAAGAAATATCTTTAAGAGGAAACTGTAATTTTAAGATTAAAAAACACAGATTTGTGAGAACAATGAATGACTCCTGTTTGTGTTCATTTATGATCAGTTTTTGGTTTCTTTTTCAAGGTAGAAGCAGGTTGGAGAGCTGTGGAGTGGAATAGGGTGTTGGTTTTCATTGTCATGGTTCCAGTGATTCCAAAAATGATGTCAGAATAATAGGCACAAAAGAGCATCTTGGTATGGGGGTCAGAAAACACAATTACAATGAGAGTAATGGAGGGCGGCAGCCCCCCCCCGCCCCCCATTCTTTATGCTGTGACTTCTGGGCTGACGTTGGTTTGTATAGGGAGTTCCTTGTTCCATTCCCTCTCAGTTCATCAGTAAGTTTAATGACCAACTGTAAGAGGGGGAATCAAAAAGCAAACAGAGTAAAAAGACTTTAAGGATTGTGAAGAGAGTTTAGCACCCATGACTCAGTTTCCTAGGAAAATTCTGAGTACTGGACTATTTATGACTGGATGCTAAAATACTCATACACAAATATTCATTCTCTGACTGATTTTTTTAAAATAAAATTTAAATATTTTTGGTTATGTTTTAAGTTCCAAAATGTTTCCCTCCTTTCCCACCTACCCTGCACTAGAGAAGGCCACCAATTGTCCCAGATTTACAGATTTATGTAAAACCAGACCACACATACTTCTACTTATCAGTTCTTTCTCTGGAGGTGGATAGCATCTTCCTTTATAGTTTATTTGAGTATTTATAATACTCAGAATAACTTGGTTGTTCACAATTATTCTTCAAATAATATTGTTACTGTATACAATGTTCTCTTGGTTCTGCTCACTTCACTTTTCATGCAGATCTTTCCATGTTTTTCTAAAGTCGACCAGCTCATCATTTCTTACAGCACAGTAGTATTCTGTCACAGTCATCTACCACAACTTGTTTAGCCCTTCCCCAACTGGTGAGCATCCCCTCAATTTCTGGTTCTTTGCCGTCACAAAGAGAGCTGCCGTAAATATTTTAGAACACATAGGTTCTTTTCCTTTGTCCCTGATCACCTTGGGAAACAGACCCAATAGTTGTATTGCTGGGTCAAAAGGTATAATTTCTTAACTCTTTGCACATTATTCCAGATTGCTGTCCAAAATGGTTGGATCAGTTCACAGTTCTACCAACAGTGTATTAATGCTTGTTTTTCCACATCCTCTCCATCATGTCATTTTCCCCCTTCTATCATTTTAGCCAATCTGGTAGGTATGAGATGATATCTCAAAGTTGTTTTTTATTTGCATTTTTTCATTAGTGATGTAGAACATTTTTTCATATGACTATAAATAGTTTTGATTTCATCATCGAAAAACTGCCTGTTCATATCCTTTGACCATTTATCAGTTGAGGAATAACTTACATTCTTATAAATCTGACAGTGTTCTCTAGATTTGAGATGTGAGACCTTTATCCAACAAACTGTCTATAAAAATTTTCCCCCAGTTTTCTGCTTTCTTTCTAATCTTGGTTGCACAAAACCCTTTTAATTTAATGTAATCAAAATTAACCATTTTACATCTCACAGTATTCTGTATCTCTTGTTTATTCACAAATTCTTCTATCCATAAATCTGATAGATAATGTGTTCCATGTTCTGGTTTTCTTGTGATATCTCCCTTTATATCTAGGTCATGTATCCATTTTGACCGTATCTTGTTAAATGGTGTGAGATACTGATCTATACCCAATTTCTGCCAGACTGCTTTCCAGTTTTCTCAACAATTTTTACAAATAGTGTATTCTTACTCCCAAAGCTTAAAACTTTACGTATGTCAAACACAATTTACAACTGTGTTTGTTATGTCTACTCTGTTCCACTGAACCACCTTTTTATTTCAAGGCCAGTACCAGATAGTTTTAATAATTACTGCCTTATAGTATAGTTTAGGATTTGGTACTGCTAAACCTCCTTCCTTTACATTTTATTTTCATTAATTCCTTTCATATTCTTGACATTTTGTTCTTCCAAATGAATTTTATTATTTTCTAGCTTAATAAAATAATGTTTTTGGTAATTTGATTGGGTTGGCATTAAATAAGTAAATTGGTTTGGATAGAATTGTAATTTTTGTTATATTGGCTCTGCTCATCCATGAGTAAGGAATGTTTCTTTAATTATTTAAAAGTGACTTTATTTGTATAAAAAGCATTTTATAATTATATTTATGTGGTTCCTGAGTTTTTCTTGGTAGGTATACTCTCAGATACCTTATACAGTCTACAATTATTTTAAATGGGATATCTCTTATTATCTCTTCTTGCAGGGTGTTCTTGGTGATATATTTTATACCCTGTTCCTTTGCTAAAATTGTGTCATCTGACTTTTTATTTGAATCTCTAGGATTTTCCAAGTATATCATCATATTGTTTGCAGAGAGAGAGAGTTATTACTTTATTTCCCATTCTGATTCCTTTCATTTCTTTTTCTTCTCTTATTGCTATTGCTAGCATTTCTCATACAATATTGAATATTATTGATGATAATGGGCATCCTTGTTTCACGCCTCTTATATTTCTTATTGGAAAGACTTCTCATTTGTCCCCATCGCAAATAATGCTTACTGATGGTTTTAGGTGGATTTTTCTTATTTTAAAGAAAAACCCATTTATTTTTGTTGCTGATATAGTCAGTTACGTTAATAGTTTTCCTTATGTTTTTTTCTTAAGTTTAGGTTCACCTGTATGTAGAACAGGTTAAAATTTGATGTATTACCTATTAGAATACATAATTATTTTTTCCTTTATGTCATTTTATTTACCTGGCAGAGTTTGCTTGTAAATTTCCTGTTCTCACCATTTTTCAGTTCCCTTCATAAAGCATATACAATATTTTTCTCTCAAATAACTAGTGAGCTAGTACATAAAATCTCTGTTCCAAGTGGCTCTTCATAACGGCCAAGAAAATGTTCACTTTTCATTGAAGCAACAAAGATCTAGGCAGAAATGTTTATTTCAGTTTTCTTCTTCTGCATTTAATTTTACATGAAATAAGGACTGAGCCTCTTGCTTTCCATATGAAGCTGTTTAAAGACTCAATTGGTCTTTTTGTTGCAAGAACAAATGAAACAACATTGAATCTGAAAATATAATGGACCATTGAATTTAACAAAGTTACATAAATTTTTTTTAAATTACAGCATTGTTGCTGTACATTTCACTTTCCTTGTTAGTAACTTCACTTAGTGTGCTGATTTGTTGTGCCAGTTGCCATAATATTTTAATAAATTCATCAAGAATAATAGTTAAGCAATTCCTTAAGCATTTTGCTTGGGCCCTGCTTTTCATCACACACAAGTGGATAGGGTACCCAATGATTTGATTTACGTGACAATTTGTTATTTGACTAAAGCGTACTTACAGACTTCTTTCCTTTAAAAAATAGTGCTATATTTTTATTAAGTAAAATTTTCATTTACAGTTACTTCATAAAATCTTTTTAATATTGGGTAAAGGGGAATGACACAAGCCTGCAACTTTACATACATGAAAAATAATTGTGATTTTTTTTCAGTCCATTTTAAAATTAAAGTGAGACTAAGTGTGGGGCATCAGGCACCAAAGATGATAAGGAGAACTAGACTAGAGTCTACTTATTACTTTGTTTCTCTTTTCACATCTGTTTAAGTTATCTGTTTTCAGTTCTTTGTTTCCTTGGCAATGAAAGCAAACACTATATTACTGCAACTTCTAACGATAACTCTGTTTCAGTATTCTGGTGAACTAGTCCTGAAGAGAGTCACATAAAATCAATCTCTATGTCTGATCTGATTTCCTGTGAATGTTATCTGTAATAGAATTGTGAATTTGTTAGACATGATGTCCTTTGAGGTCAGTATTGTTAAAGTTTTTCAAGATTCCTGATACAGTTCAACTCCAGTGAATTTCATTGTGCTACAAACTCTATAAAAAGCTCATTGTCACATTATAATAGATTTATGCTTGTTGTAACATTCAGCTGTAGCACATATCACACGACTATCACATGTAAACCCTCTGTGTTAGGATAGTTTTCAAAGGCTTTCTTTAGTGGTGTCTTTCTATATTGGAATCATATTTATAATGTGTGCCTATATCTCAAAAGAGATGGCATATCATAAATGCAGCTTGATATATATATATAGTGTTTTCAAAGTCTTAGTGCAGTTTTAAGCTTTTTAAAGCTTACATGCGGTTAAAGCTTAAAACTTTGGGGACACTGTATATGTGTGTATACACATATAGTCAGTTATCAGACTAGGGTTTTTTTGTTTTGGTTTGGTTTTGGGGTTTTTTTTTGGGTGGGGGGTTTTTTTTTTGGTTTGTGTTTTTGGTGAGGCATTTGGGGTTAAGTGACTTTCC